ATTAATAACATAATTGATTTTGTTTATTCTCTGAAAATTCGAAATATGAAACAATCGAGATTTGCTTCAGTTTGTAATATTTAATATGAACTTTAGTTTCTCCGCTATTGTCCGTTATATCGGCTGCCATTTTTTTTAAAAACTACCGAATAAAAATTTTGTGCTATACCACAGTTTTTTTCAAACATAATGATTATTGCCTGACTACTCCAATTTTCCTAATTGTAAAAAATACAATGGCGTAACTAAAATTTGTTTAATATTTGGCAACTGAAGGAGTTCGTAATATTTGCCCCGCTACCTAAAAAGGTTTCAAACAGTTCAATCTTTCAATGCGTATTTCACTTCTACCGAATCAAACAGTCGTTGTCTAGCAAATTTTGGAAGTACCTTGTATTTTATTAAATTTACCAATAAACGTTGTATGTCGATTAACAGGTCGTAAAGAAATATCATTTGTGTATTTTATATCCCGTAGATATCCAAAATATGGTAAAATTGCTGGTAAATTGTCATCTCGAAAATATTCGCTTTTTTACTTGTTGTTTAATTCTCACGAATTTCTAAAAAGGATAACTATCTTTTTGTATATAGCTGCCGTGTTTGAGTGTGTTCCTTCGTCCGGTTAAAAACATAATATTTTTTATACTTTATTCTCGACGAGTATAGGCTATATAAGTAGGTGTATATACGGAACAACGACGACCGCGACGGGAAGTAAGTCGTTTTCGATGTTCCTCGATTTGACGGTGACAGTCTCGCCTATATATCCGTAAACACTAACCAGTAAACATGCACGGATACATTTTGTAAATATTTAAAGGGTTTTATTTTTTTGGATAACCTTTTAACACATTACTCGATTTTCTATCATGGAGCCCGTGAATACTGTATAATATATAGTTTCTACTGCAATGCTCGACATATTGGTGAAAAAATCCAAAAGTGAAATAAAAATAATAGCCAATAGGTATTTATTCAGTTTACAAATTTAATTCTATTATTTTATTGCTGTAATTGATGTTTTCCATACAATGTATGGAAATATGAATACAAATAAAAATAATCGTAACAATTGTAAATATATTGTAATCGATAAACGGGAAAATCGCATGATTAAAAATGTATAAGAGTGGTTTTCGCATTTCACGGTTAAAATTATGCAAATATAACATCAATAATTTGGCGCATAGTATACTAGTCGCCTTTCGAAATTAAGCTTAAGCTGCAGGATCACCTCCAAATAAATTCTTTACTTACATTATATCATAAACCAAACCATTTAATTACTACTATAATTACCCCACTCAATTGGCATTCGGTAGAAAAATGATTTCCAAATAATCAAAAAAACATGTGATCGAGATAACTATAACTCACTGTTAATGGCCCCAAGACAGAGGTGAGAGCATCTCTCTTCAGTTCGATCAGTATATTTCTTTACAGGTCTATAATGACAATGCTGTTATTACGGCGAAGCATTCATACCACATTTTTTTTCCGTGAAATAACTCATTGTACCGTGATTTTTTTTTTTTTTGGATTTACTCTGGGTGACGTCACTATTGCCCTGTTATCTTGTTGATATGCCAGTTTATTTCGTAATGGATCTGATAATAATACAAATTATATTAGATATGTATATTTTTGTGAAACGATTAAATGTATACATATAATGGTAATAATTAGTTTTCTAGTTACGACATAGTTTTTAAAATTATTTCTAAGCATAATAATTCGTATAATACCTACTATAAATATAGAAGAGTATCATTAATAATGTTATGATGAAAACAAAACAGTTTTTAAAAAAAAAAAAACACCATATTTTCTTTTATGCGGGTATCTACCTACATAATGGGTTTAATATGAGAAATTTCTTTTGAAAAGTATAATTTCGAACACACATATCATTATAATATACTACCATATAGACAGTTAGAATACGAATTTGTTCACGAAGTAAACTTCATCATTAATATATTATTATATATATATTATGAGGTACTTATTCAAGTCCGCGTTAAAAACGTACCCAATAAAATATATTTTTGGTATTTTAGTCGCGACGTTTAATAATTTCTGACATTAGACGTCGGAAAAGTTTTTTGTGTATAAATAATGTAGTTTATTAACAATTTTGGTATTTAATTTACCAAAAGAATAAAAAAAAAAAACAACTTCTTTTTTAAGTTAAAATTTGTATTATTATCCATTATATATAACAATTTAAACATTATATTCCTTCAATAATTATACTACTGCTAAAATAATATAATTATATTATTATATACGAGGTGTCCTGCGAAGATAAACTCATTGTAATGTCTCAGATAGTATTAACTTTTTTCGGGTTTTTTATTTTTAATTCATCATTATTTATTCACCCTTATTTTTGGAAGTGAAATTACTAATTACTTTTGATTTTCAAATGGCGACTTTTATTCAATATTCCATAAATTAGATGGGGTATTAGTAAAAAATGTTTGAATACATTTTGATTACCATCAACCCATTGATGAAATATTCCATTTTAGGTATAAAGAGAGAGTAGTGGAGCAAATGGATGGACGGAAATCAACAATCCCCCCCCCTAAATGTATTTAAACTCCATATTTTTATGGAATTTTTAATATAATAGATAGCTATTTGAAAATCAAAGGTAGTTATTCATTTAACCACCCCGAATAATTTGGAGATAAAAAAGACATCCTAGGATAATGAAGACGGGTACAGCCACTATTATAGGTAATTTAATGTATGTCTGTAAGCAACGATAAACTATTGCGAACGAAAAGACCTGAGCGCAGTTCAGTTAATATGGATGCTTTGTAAACAATATATATGTCAAATTATGTTTAAATAATTAAATAGGCATTCTATATTTTCTTTAATAATATTTGCTTAATATTATACTTATTTTTCTGTTTTTTTTCCCCATTTATTGGGAAAACTAGGAACCTTAAAGTACCTTTCTAGTGACATTTCCTTTCATAAAAAGTGTTATTATTTTAAATTGGAGCGAAATTACTGGTAGAAAAGTTGTACATAGAAAAAAAAGGCCATAATATTTTTTTACTAATACCTATATTTCGTACATTTTCCGTTTCCAACATATTATCCCTAATTTTCTCAGACATTATGAAATCTCCTTGAAAAATCAATAAACGATTTCTCTAAATTGTCATGGGGATAAAATTTTCTTTCAGAAAATAAGCTACACTTGATACATCGAAGGGAGATATCTGGTAAAAAAAGTTTGCACAACAAATCTAGGGGTATTTTGCGATTAAAATAGCCTGAGGAAGCGATGGCTTGGATCTCTAGGTACATCCAAAATGCATTTAAGTTTTCTGTCCAAATTTAAAGTTTCCACGAATATTTTTAACTGAATTACAGTAGAGAACGAAATTTAAAAGGAATAAAAACATTATTTTCGTAAATTTCCGGTTTTTCTAATGTTTTATCCTGGTTTTTCCCAGATATTATGAAAACCGCTTGGAAAATCATAAAATAACCTCCCAAAAGTACGATCTGGACAACATTCCCTTTTAGAAATGGTACCGCGCATATATAACTGAGCAAGATTTATGGTCGAATTTTTGTACACGGGATAAAAAAAAAATAAATAAACATCTTAGTAAAACCAATACATTCTTCGCTACACTCAAAATCTAAAATAATGATAACGTAACATTTAAGAGCTCCTTTTTTTATAAAATTGTCAATAAAAAAACAAACGAACATATTTTGAACGATGGGTGGGCCACTGTTGTAGACGAGAAGTAGAGAAGGTAGAGGGGAATTTAAATGTATAATCATTACTAACTGAAAACGTTTCTGAGCAGAGTTTAGTTATACATGTTTTTAAATGGCGTAATATTTACGATTTTTAAAAATAATACATTTCGTAAAATTTCTCGCGTTTTCCTGGGTTTTTCCATTTTTTAGGAAACTCCTAAGAAAATCAAAAAATTACCTCCCTAAAGTATCACTCTAATTAAATAGTTATATCATTGTGGACACTTATATAACATTACGGAGTACCATAAAAATTCAGTATATTATAAATGTTATTATTATGACAAATTGACGGTGTATTATAATGATTTTAAGTTTATGTTACTGAAAATATTTTTAAAGTTTTTACATTAATCTAAAACAAAGAACAACAATAATTTGTAAAGACGTCAATAATATTATATTACAGTCCGCGGGTGTACAGTGAACAGTTATACAGTGTGTACTGTTTTTCTTCAAATAGGTATACAAAATACTGTCATCGTGGACGCCCGGAGAAGGAGCAAGACGGGGCATTTGTCACCCCTTGTCTTCAAAATTTCAAATACAATTTGAATAATTAATTAATATAATTTTATTTTAAGTACTTTTTGGTGTTTGATTTTATTATGCCCCTCTCTGATAAATTTTCTACGGACGTCCATGACTATCATATTATACCTCAAATATTCGTCGAAAACTGTAAAAAACAAATAAATAAATAAATAAAAATTCACAAAATGCACAAAACTTGACCCGCAAATTGGTAAATTCAGTCAAAAAAAAAAAACAAAATAATATTCTACGGCTATATTTTTTTTTTCACGGAACAATAATAATATGGATTTACGAGAAGTAATTCTAAAGATATTTTTTTTTTTTACAGCCAATAATAATATTTTATTATTGGCTTTTTATAACTTAAGTTTATTTATATAAAATGATGTTTGTGCTAGGCTAAGTGCTAATATTATTGATTTTTTAAGTTTTAAAGTCCAAAAAAAACCTATATTTTTTTTCAATATCCCTCTCGTAGCACTCGAAGTAGGGATATGCTCGAATTATCTTGACCAAATTTGTACTTTTTTATAACCATGCAATATAACTGCACAATACGAAATGGGGAGGCGTTCGAGTAAACTTTTATAACTTTATAACTTTTAATGATAAAAGTTCAAAATGATGTGCAATTTAAAAATCGATTAATAATTATTATTATACGTAGTCAACTAAATTAAAGTTATTTATAATTAGTATTATATAATGTTAACGATGCTTTCTTGTGATTACGAAATAAATCAAAATTAAGTTTTAAATGCAGTTTTTAAAAAAAATTTAAGAAAGGTTGTTAAAAAACAAAAAAAACTGCAAAAATTAACTGCGATGGCCGGGAATCGAACCCGGATCAACTGCTTGGAAGGCAACTATGCTGACCATTACACCACCATCGCAAGTGAAAATTTTAAGTAAACACTATATATTTCACTGGCATTTTCACTGTAGTTATGTAATTTGTATTAAATTATTTTATTTTCTAATAATTTTATTCAATTTAGGAATTATTATATTCCAATCTGTTCTCTTGTATTATACTATCTACATACGATTTAAAAGTTAGTAGATATTTTATCTAAATCGGAAATCCGAAATACTATAATAAAAGTTCTGATAAAAATATGTTTACTCTAAAATTGAAACTACTTAGTTGTTCTAAATAGTTTTTTTTGAAAATTAAAAGATTGCCAAAATGTTTCAAACACATTCTGCAGGTACCTCTCAGTTCATTGATCTCCATTTTTCTTCCTGTAACTGTCTTTTACGAACATTTCGCTTAAGCTTTCAATTATTTGTTCTTATTAACCGGATGTCGGGTATGATAAACATGTCACTGTATCCAAAGTCAGTGGTATACATAAGCGCAATTAAATCGAAGCTAAGGACTACTTAACATTCTAAATAATTTATTTAGCCCGCCAAATAACTTAATTTATTAATTATGCAGTATACAGTTATACTATTGTATTTTTTTTTTCACTGATAAATATAAAAATGATTGCATTGTAAAGTAAACACAATGCAAAACCAAATTTCAAAAAAAAAAAAAATATATGAAAACCTTTATTATAATAATTATTCAGTGTCTTAACATTAACTTAAGTAATGTATTTGCACAATTGTATTAAGAAACTTCGTGTCTACAATATTTTAGTATAATATAATAGTAGTGAATACCTATCGTTTATATTTATTTTTTTTAACAAGCCATTAACTATATTTAATATTCTATCAATTTTGTCCCAATATTGGAGCAATACCACTGCATAGTATGTCGGATACTAAATTAATTATGGACTTAATATATTTTTTTTTTTTCAAAGGAACTAAAAAAAACTAAATACAAATAACTGTTGTATTAAAATATTTTTTCCTAATAGATTACTATTATATTACTACTATTAATATATTATATTACTATATTACTATTACTATTATTAATAATTCATAATACTATTAGGAAAAATACTAGGTTTCATAAATTACCTATCTACATATTTTATCGATTCTATTTTGTTAGAATTGCCCCAAAAAACATGTTTTACATTAGTTTATTACTAACACAATAATATATATAAAAAAAAAGGTTAATTAGTGCAAACCAATCTTTACAAGTTGTAGATTCATACTAGACATGTATTCGGATTCTATCATAGTTAAATCTAATTTTTAGAACGTAGAAATAAAATAATAATCAGCTTCAAAATTGTCAACGTCAACTAGCAATTCAAAACGATAAAGTTGATGTTAACTTGGAACAAAATTAACCTAAAACTGAAAAATTTCACCCACGAAATAGTGCGTGATAAACAAAATTTGTTTTGCCCACACATGTGTTTCCTAAAGTATATAATTGTGTTCAAGCATTACAATATTACTTAAACCTATTTAAGTTTTGAGCTAATAGGTTGAGTAGTGCAAATGTATCAAAATTATCATTTTATTTGTAATATGTTTTTAATGGTGAATAGTTTAAATAATTTTTTTTATATTTTAAACGGCTAATGTGAGGAGGTATACTGAATCGAAACCATTAGCCCTTATATGTCATTTGTCCGAAAATTCAAATTAGATAAATTATTGTAATATACTTTCTATTACAACGATTCTGAACGAATCTTTGTGTCTTTTTTATAATTTCATTCAAATAATATCAAACTTAATCTTTATCTTAAATTTACTTTTTCAATGTCGCGCATATTTACTCTAGAATTTTATGACATTATATATATATTACATTACAAATTGTATTAATAAATAACATAGGTGGCATACTAAATGAAATTGATTTTCATATAGATAATATTTTCAATTAAGCATAATATACTACGAGTAACATAATGTACTATCTGTCCCGCGCCCTACGTTGCCCGTGTCAATTTATATTATTATTATTTTACCCATATTCATTTTTGGTTTTGGCCGTGTGAGAACTGAATGAAAATAAATAGGTCGAAAGTGGTTAGTCCACCGAAAGTGTACTAAATGTGTTCTATTATGAAATTTTAATAGTGTAAATAATAGTAATAACATTAATTATAATAGTTTTCCGTGGCAACCAAGGTAATCCTTGAATAACAAAAGTAAATAAATAATCAATTAGATATTCATAACAAATATACCTTAAAACCCTTATTTTACCCCCTTAGTGGTTGAATTTTCAAAAATCCTTTTATAGCGAATGCCTACGTCATAATAGCTATTTGCGTGCCAAATTTCAGCCCAATCCGACCAGTGGTTTGGGTTAGATGATAATGAATCAGTCAGGATATGTTATTTTATATATATATATATATATAGATGATGTATACAAATATCTAAAATGTTAATTTAATAAAAACAATATTGTAGAATCCATGTATAGGTTCTTTATCTCAATGAATTACGACAAAAAATATATAAAATAACAAATAACATAACTTTATTTTTTAAAACTAGACATAATTTAATGGATATCATAAACAGAGATCACTGATATAGTAGTGACGTTCTTTGAAAGAAATCTTCAATATAACATTAGCAGAGAGAAAACAAATTTGTGTTAAGCAAACCGATATATTCAACGTTCCAAATAAAATTAGATTTTTTTTAAAATCAAATATGCTCGTACTGTGTCGGATCATATTATTATTAAATATAAGCACGACAGTAAACTATAAAATTATTAAATCTATCATAGAAATAATAATAATCGTACTATTCGCTCTCTCCTTCGTAAGTCTTGCATAACCTTAGAAACCACGACTACCTTTATAAAGTCATCTGTGTCTTCCAAGTTTCGGGCTATATAATGCCTACAAATAAACATCGTGGCCATGCTTTGTAACAAACCACCTCGGGTAGTATAACTTTGACAACAGCGGGATAGTTTGACATATTACATGTTGCCCTATAAATAGGTACACCTATTATTTATACTATACTATTTCTTGCTGACATAATATTAGCTCGCCCGCATATGTATTCGAACTCCACACAAAGTTTTAATTTGATGATCGTATCGAATGACGTGATTAATTGAACGGTTTTTATGAAAAAGAACTAAAGTCAATATTGACTATTTTTGATTTATATATTAATTATTTTGTGTAAAATTTCAAGCCGTGTTGGTATGTAACATTGTAGTTTACAGATTTACTTATCGAAAACTCAAAAGCATGCGTTACTCATAACGAAATCATTTTTCTTTATTCGCAATTTATTCATATTTCTTTGGATTCGTTGAATGTAAATATATTAGTTTATTATATTATGTGTGTATTTTTTTCTTAACGGTCAAAGTTTTTTTTTTGTTATAATTAAATTGTTTAACTTCTACACATTATTATTTATTATAAAATCGTTTGGTATATTCTTTTGGTAAATGTTTTTTTATTCTTAAAATTATTTTTGACGTTTAATGTAAAATGAAATTAACCTATCCAAAAAAACATTTTTGGAGGTTATAACTTATATGGTTAAACATATTATACACAATATTATAATTCAATTCTAAGCGAATAGGTTATGATTACTTAAAAGATACTCAAATACGTTCTATCTAACTCTTCGTCTTACCTCTTACCTGTACTTAAAATGATTTCAGTAAAATGGAATGGTCAAATCTACGTACACAGTGCACGTAAACTTGTTGTTGTACTTAATTCAGTTGTGCCACATTTTTCAAGATATAATTACTGCAGTTAGCGATATTACGATATCAATCATATATGAAGCACCATATCATATCAAGCACCAATCGAGTACCAAACCGGTAATAGCCCACTGCTCACACATAAATTTATTAGTTATTTTCGATAACAGAGAACAGACTGTCAAGCGAATCTTTGTACTTGTTCGAAGAATTAAAACCGTTTTAAATACTGTATGCCGTCCCTAGAACTGTTTAATCTATTCATTTTCGGTACCAACACGATAGGATTTATTATTATTTAGGATTAATCAAATAAACGGATCGTATGTAAGCACCTTTCGAATGATGTGTTTTTTTCAACAACTTTTTGCAGTTCACCTGTGCAATATTATTATAATGTTCATATAAGTTGTACATTTTAATATGTAATAAATAATTTTAAATCTAAGTAAATAAATATTTGCATGAAATAAAAATATTCGAAAGTGTTACGGGCGTCGTCTCGCTTCCTGTTAGTATATCATATTATATAGCATAAAGTATGGAACTTACTGCAGCACAATAATAGGTAATTTACACCTTAGGTCAAAATAGTTTAGACTCGAACAATGTACAAAGAAACCACGCCGCAATGCGAATGATTATGATAATAATTGTATATTTGAATATTTTGAATATTAATGTAAAGTGTAAATCAAGGCAATAGCCGATGGAACACCTATGCGCGCATTTAGCAAGACCAGGATATAAGGGGCCAAATGCGTGATGTTATCGTCCGACTATGCAACAATATGTTATTGTCGAAAACGCGGACTAAGCTTATCTAGTTGGGGGGGGGGTCCAGGGTATATATACTGGTCACTTAAAACACCTTTTCAGATGAGCCTTACTATTATAATCTGCAAGCACCTTCATGTCATATAGACTTGCACTTTTTATTAAAAGTGTTTGAATATTTTTATCAATAAATTATACTTATATAAAAATTACCGTGTACAATATTTCCGACTTCGGTTATAGGTATACCAGAATTAAAGTTTGAAAATACACCCGCAACAAAAGTTATGACTTTACTGATGATATGCAATAATACTAACTGATAACAATATTAGACATTTTACAGTATGACTATTTAAAAAATATGTTGATCCCATTGTTAACCTTCGGTTAGTTAATCCGGACCACAAAATTAATTGATAAATCGTAATAACCGCAAATTGTTTAGCCGGAACTTTAACCGACAATTAACTTGGATTTTAATTAAATTATGGTTAGT